CGTCACATCACTGTCACATTGGCAGGCATTTATGAGTTTATGTGACTGTTTTGATTGCGGATGGCATCAAAATAGAAGTATTGGACTTCTGAGTCATGGCTAATTACATCTTTATTATACAGATACTGCCCGTGTTATCATCTCTTGAGTTAAGTTGCAGAAGAACACACCACAAACACTACAGGTGACGTCGCGCGATCCAGCAACATGCACATACTTGTACACCTGTGAGATTCTGTGTACGAATGACAAACAAAGAACAACATGGAAGGTTTTTAAGTTTTTAAATTATAGTTTATTTTTCTGCAAAGTTCCACCTGGCATTACATCCTCAGGCAGGCTGGCAGAGTTGAAACTGAACTGACCCTGTAATATTAAGCTTAGCTTGACATCAAAGTGGAACCATTTAAAAAAAATGTTTGATGCAAACTCACTTTACCCCCAGAAAGCATGTCACGTCTGTCCAGCTTCCCTAAATAAAGTGAACCTCCACCCTTAGAGCTGGCTGACACTTTAAAGTTAACTCTGACGTGCAAACCCCCTCAGGAGCAGGAAGCATTCAATCGGCAGCAGTTGGCACGGCACTCGCACTGCAAACAATAGCGCTACCTCAACACTGCATTGGAGTGTGTTTGTGTGCGTCCGTCTGTCTTTGTCCTGTAGGGAAACTTGCCAAGACATGGAGAGTTTAAGGATATGGAATGTTAAGACACACACAATCTCTCCAGTAGGAAACTGATGTCAAGCTCCAGTAAAGTCCATTGCTAATATACTTTTAAAAGTATTCATGTTTGATTCATTTGACATCATTTGGTCCACTTGAGCCAGTTGATCAAAATGTTAATAAATCAAAAACCGTGCTGGATCCTTTAACTCTTGTGGTTTCTTTTTTGCTTTCATTTATTCCAACTTTGTGATAGCCCAAAGATTTTGACCAACACAATACATCCATCCATCCATCCATCCATCTATCTATCCATGGTCAAACCGCTTATCCTGCACACAGGGTCGCGGGGGGGCTGGAGTCCATCCCAGCCAACTTCGGGCGATAGACAGGGTACATCCTGGATTGGTCGCCAGCCAATCGCAGGGCTACACAGAGACACACCACCATTCACACATCTACGGGCAATTTAGAGTCTCCAATTAACCTGATCCCCAGAGCATGTCTTTGACACGCAGAGAACATGCAGACTCCACACAGAAATTAAGGGGAAAATAATCAAGATGATAGTGCTCAGAGGATTGAAACATTTTGTTTGTGCCACTTGTCTGCACAGGAACAGTGTCCATATATTTCAAATAAGTTTCCTCTGATACTATTTCTTTAGTGGTATCAATAAAACTCTTGCATGACATCAAGATCTGCAGCAATCAGTCGATTCCTCAACGAGTATATCAACAGAAAAATGCTCCCTGACTACTTGCTTAATTACAGCTGAGCTAATGCCAACGACACCACCACACTACTGAGAAGTGAAGTTAGCAAAGCCTCCACTCGAAGAGGCACAACCGCCGTCTGAACGACAGACAGGTGAGACAATAGGCAAACTCAAGGTTAGCAGAGAACAGAGAAGACCTCACCGGAAGAAAATGAACGCGCAGACAGACACCAAAACGCATTCCAAACTGAAGCCTATATTGAGCTCTAATAATAGGCTCTTGAAACAGACAAACATCCGCCGCTCCATCTCCTCCTCCTCCTCTTCTTCTTCTTTCCATGCCCTCACCTGCCCTCACTTCAGTTTTCCTCCCCCCTTAAAACCTCCTTCCTGTCCTCTTTTCCATGTTCTCACCTCCTTTTCTCCTCCCCTCTCCCTGGGAGTTTTGTTACACCTTGCCTCAAAGAATGGATTTGGTTTCTTTGTTTTTGTTTTTTTACCGTATCGAATCTCCTCCTCCTCCATCTGTTATCACAGAATCTTCCCGCTGTCACATACCTGTTGAATTAATCTGCACACACAAACATAAGTCTGTGCATGGGGTGGAAACACACAGCAAGGCTACATTGCAGCCCACAGGGAAGACAACTGAACTGAACAGGGTATGAGCTCATCCGATGATTAGGTAGCTGTCAATCAACTTCTCCCCTTCTTCCATGACTGGTTTCCTCAGTACACAGATAGAGATTTATGGTCTACAGATATTGGAAACAATAAGTAAGGCTCTTGCACTATGTTGCTCTTGCACTATGTTGTCTTATCTGTCTTGTTGTCCACTGTCTGATGTCATGCACCAACCGCCAAAACATATTTTGATAATAAATGTTCCTGATTTCCTGAAGTCATTGGATAATTCAGTGTAGCAAAGGACACCTGTAAAAGCACATCAGCTTTCAAATTTAATTTTAAATGCTTGGAAATACTTCCATCTGTATTCTGTTTGAAGCTGTAATATTTGCGTGAATTTGAGTAAATAAAACTGACACACAGGGTTATTGTCAAATATAGTAATATAAGACAAAAAAAAGTGGATCAAAGGGATTTGGGAAAAGTAGAAAGAGGATCACAACTGCAGAAGACGACATCGCAGTGGGGTTTGATTTCTGAAGAAAAGGACGAGCAAGAATAGGGAGAGAGGGTCGTTTAAAAAGGGGGAAAGGGAGGAGAGCAGGAGACAGCAGAATGAAGAAGAGATAAAGGAAAAGGAGACCCAGATGATCTATAATGGACTTTATGATATCTGTTAAAGAATGGGTGGTATAGATGTGGAAAGAAAGAAAGAGTAGTGTGAGAACTGGGGAACTATTGTGACACATCTAAGAACTACCCAGGTACCCACACTTGATGCAGGCGTATGGTGGAGGAGGAGAATCAAAGACGTGTTGAGATTCCAGAAAGGCATGTTTGGTAAGCGGGTACACACCTGCTGTAGTGAGGCTCTGATATGCTGATACTGACGGTACGCTGTGTTCAATGCTAAATGAATTTCACAACGTGAGAATGTGGAATGCTGTTGTATATTAGGCTGGACTGTAGTATTGGTGCGGACCAGAGCTAAAGTTAGATTTTTACCATTGGGTTGCGTCCAATATAAGATGCTCTGCACAAACTCATTCTTCGCACAGTGCAGTGATCTAACACACCATCGGCCCCAAACTGACCCAAATAAGCAAAACGTACATCAGCCAAGACGTGACCAATGCACATTAAAAAGAGTGAGGTAATTTAACAGGCCTTCCCGTCCGCAGGTTGAGGCAGGTTAACTGACATTCCGATCTCTCCCCCGGCTCTTTCTTTCATTCAGCAGGAGAGGAGGGGGAGGGTGGGGGGTTGGTGGGGGTCAACACACACTCTGAGGCCTGTCACTGTGTCACACACTCACACTGGCATTAGCCTACCTACATTCTTTCAAGACAAAACTACTACCTGGTAACCAGAGACACTCTCTCTCCACCTCCCCCCTTTCTCCCCCCCCCCCCCCCCGCTCATCTCTCTGCAGTAGTCTTAGCATTGATGCACGAGAAAACATTTGCTGCCGTGTGGCGGTGGAAACATTTTTAAGTCCGCGACCTGCATCCGTCACATGTTTCAGTCCGTTCAGATGAGTTTCCAAATCAAACTGTTTCAGCACCACATTGGTTTTCTCAATCATTTTCTCCAACGTACTCAGTGGCACCAAAAGCATCCCAACGATGCTGTAGACAATAACAGCATTACAATAAGACTAACCGGCTGACACTCATCTACGTCTATGTCTACATTGAGAAATACCGTCCTTAACTGCTTCACTGGGTCAAATAGCGATGTCAGTATTACCTTGAGGTTGTTTAATAAATAACCAGTAAAAAGAGCCTCCCAGTAATAAAATCCACATCCCAGAAAAGGCTGCGGGTAGGCTGCCTTGTTGTGATCCGATAGATGCGAACGCGATTGTGAAAATCTTCATTCTTTTACTACTTTCACAAGGTAAAGAGTCTAACAAGCTTAAACACTCGGTGACAATGACGGCTCCTTGCTTGAGACCCTCGATAGAAGGGGGCGCTTTAAGAAAAGAGGGGAGAACAGGGGTCCGATGGACGGCAGCGGGATGGGAAACTAAATGGCGTGACTGAAAACACTCTTGTCGAGGACAGAGGTGCACACAGACACACACGGCGCCGCAGGATGAGGGCACTCGAGCAGGAGGGCCCGGCACAAAAGAGTGGCATTCAGAAACATAAAAGGTTGTTCAAGAGCGACGGTCAAGAACGCAAAAAGGTAACTTGGAGCTCTGAAAGACAGTGTGTGTGTGTGTGTGTGTGTGTGTGTGTGTGTGTGTGTGTGTGTGTGTGTGTGTGTGTGTGTGTGTGTGTGTGTGCGCGCGCTGTACATCTATACACAAGTGTGTGTGTTTCTGGTAGAATTACTGCAACAGAAGAAGGAAACAAACACAATGTCCTACCAAAAAAAAACAAGTTTACCAGCAGCTCACAAATGTTTGGGGGGGTAATTTCACTATATGTGGCTTTGACTGAAATCCAATCAGCCTCATTTTAACTTGAAAACTATGAATGTGCATCAGTTGTAATGGCCGGCAAGAAAACATGTTCACATTTTTAATACAAGTGGCACGTTTATGAGAACCACAATTTCAGGTGAAATAAATATACTCTACAAAACACACATCAACACCTCACAGCCCTCAGACAGAAATCTGTAAAATGTGCCACTTTGATGTGACCAACTGAAAACTCCAACAGGGCAAAGCATCTCCAAACCACAAAACACAATAGTTCAAATATGAATTGGGTGTCTACCGCTTGCTGCCAACGTTCTGGGTCGGGCCATAATGCAGATTTTTCACCAAATACTCTCAATATCGATACTAAAGGCGACATTTTAGGGTTGAAGTCAGAGCGGCGAACACGCCATCCTTCAATTTGCCGACAGACAGCGCATAACATGAGAAACACTGGCAAAGCAGCTTCGGTACAGAGCGTTTTGTGCTGGAACCACAGTTTGACCAACGAGAAACATCCAAATAGGCAACATGCTTGGATGGGTTTCAATGAGCCTTACCTGTCCGAGGTCCAGGGTGACGTTCACCTCGTTGTACTCCGTGCTGCGGGACAGGGGGGGGCTCTGCCACCATCGCTCCGTCCCGTCCACGGCGTTGGTGATGGGGTGAGCGCGGTCGCTGTCGCCCTGGCTGCAAATGTCGCAGTATTGTCCCTGAGAAGACAGACGGTAGAAAGTGTCAAGCTTTTGTTCAGCGTGTGAGTTTGCTGGTTTAAAGCTCTTAAAGCTGAAACTTCACAGCGTCCACGATTAAATCCAAAAGGGCGTCGTTGAGCCCTCGCGCTTCACTTTCCAGCTGTTTCAAACACATCTGCACCGTCCTACACTGAGTAGCTTCAAGGAGAGGAGGAGGAACTAATGAGACACCGGCTGTAGTCTTAGTTTTATTATCTCATTGTCAGTTTAACACTTGTGTGTTTGCTCTTATTTACAGATCTTCGGTGGAGACGGAGCTTCTTGCTTAGAGACGGCGTGACAGGATGCAAGAAGTGATTTACACACACTGGGTATTGTGGCATATGACACCTCAGAGTTTGAGTTACAGCCCAATGTGTCCCAGAAAACAATGTGAAAAAGAAGTTTGTCCCCCTAAGCCGCCGTAGGTCATATGACTTATATTAAAAGCGGGAAAGCGACTCCACTCCAGTTACTGTAACAGTGAGGCCGTAGCCTCTAATATATCTCTACGAGTAGGTTCAAATGTACCATCAATGTAGTCTCCGTATGGCTTTTTTGTGCCCAATTTGCACATGATTTCAGTCTGATTTGACATCATAGTGCACATTGTGAAACAAGTCAAATCAATAATAATTTCACAGCCTTAGTGAACAAAAATACAGTCTTCTACTATAGAAGTATCTCACTCAAACAAAGTTCCCCAAAGTCAAAATTATAATAATCTTCTGTTACATGAATTAGTCACTTTGTCATAACAATCATTTGAGAGGCCAATTACAGGCTAAATTATGTGTCACTGTCTGGTATTTGTTTCTTGAAATTAAAAAACAAATTCAGGCACGCAGTTCCGCTGTCTAATCGCCTGAAGGGAGAATTCCGTCGGCTCCACACATTCTTACGTCTCTACGCGTACATTTCTCTAAACTGTGGTTTTCCACCTTCATGCTAATTTGACAGAGCGGCCAAACCATTGAATTACAACTTCCGACTCGAGTCCACTTGAAGTGTCCTCTCCACGTCTTTGGTTTCTAAAGCCACTCTTCATTTTTAGCTAATCCAGTTTGTCAGCGCGTTTAACCCGACCACCGTGGGCAATCTGAGCGTTAGCATAAACTAAACAAGTGCCGACTTGAACAAAAGCCCGAGTTAGGAGATGTTATCACTGCAGGTCACTGAGGTCAGAGGTCCATGGTTACTATCCGACTCCACCCCCCCCAAACCTCTTCTCTGTGTGTTAATCTTAAAAAGCTTCAAATTATGATGTTAACAATCCATTAAGTATGACCCTTGGTGACACCCATTGGTGTCGGGACCACAAAGCAGTTCATAACGTCTTAAAGACAGAAAGGAAGGAAGGAAATCAGCAGCTGAACGCAGACATTTGGGTGCTTGTGGGCTTTGGATCAACCAGCTGATTTCCTAGCCGGGTTTGTCACTCCTTAAAAGAAGAGTCTGCTTTATTACTTTTGCCCGGCTGTCAAACCCCCTTTCGCGCTATTTCAGTCTCTTTTTATCAGTTTTCTTTTCACGGCCCACCCTCAATCCTCTTTTGTCAACAAAACGACCACCTGGAAATAAATATGTAGAGTTCTCTTTATTTCTCCCTCTCTGTGAATTACACACGATTTCATTCAACTGTTTTACTTTTTATTTCTCGTCCACCATGAATGAATGGATGAGCGGCGCTGCCCTCGGGACCTGGATTCCTCAGTCAGTGTCAGTCAACACCTGCCTCTTTATGTATTCAATCTTTTTTTCCTTCCGTTTTACATGGATCAGTATTTAATGATTGGGATAATTTTGCTAGTTCTTGTGTGTTTTCTTAAGCACGTCCAGCGACATGAGAGCGACCAGTGTCTCCTGCAATGTTCAGGCAACAAATCCACCTGGTTATGCTTAAGATACGTGGTTTGGCTGATAATAGCAACTACAGAACTTGTGTTACGTGACAAATAAGATAAATGTTAAGATAAACGGGCAGCGGTCTCCGTGGTGAAAAAGTCTTGAGTTTTCTGCTACAAACTGCACTCCCCCTACTACTGTTTTTAATTAATAAAAAAACCCTCTCGCCGCTTGCTGTCAAATAAAAACAGGATTAACCTCAGGACAGAAAAGTCAGTGCGGTAACGCAACAAGTGGGCGGAGCCACAAAAGCCCCGCGTTGTGGGCTGAACCTGTGCTGCTGGTGCTAATGGCCAGATTATTGGGGTTCTTTGGGAGATTTCCTGAGCTGTTTGTGGACCAACGTCACCTCTTCAACCAAACCGCCCGGAACGGGCAGATCAGAGAAAAGGCTGAAAGAAAATTCTGCTGAGAGAATATTTGGTTCTAATCCTCAGTGTGGAGACGCTGAAGTGGGTCAAATGAAGTTAGGATCAAGTACTGCAGAGAATTGAACAAATATAGAGCTAAATTACCATCTGAATTAAAGATAATTGCCAAGTAATCTATATAATTATTTCTTTCAGTCTCCCATCTAAAAGGGGGACGGTGGAAGTTTTTAACTCTTGTTAAAGTTTATTAAACAACCCTCAGGCCACAGGCTTTTTGGGCTTCATTCTCAGTCTCACTTCAGACTCCCTGCTGTTCATTCTCGCCAATCTCACATTCATCTCAACGACAAATCCTTATCTTCAGGTCAGCCTCTCTTTTCATTTCAGGTCACGAGGTATTTATTAGCATGCATGCCTCTTGTTTTACAACCACCAAACCATCAAAAATCAGCTAAGGATTCAGAAGGGACAGAATCCCTTTGTTCCTTCCAGACTTATACAATAGTCTCCCAGACAAAATTGGTCTGATTTGAAAAAGACCCGGCAGTTGCCGGGGAGGGAAAAGGCAACGACAGGTGGGAGAGGGAGGGAGAAGGCAATGAGCCTGCTTGTTATTGCTTTTAATGGTTAACCCGTGAAACTCCGACAAAGCCTTTGGGTTAAACTAAACCTGGAGCCTCAAACACAATGAGAGTTCACGAGCTCTTTGTTACATCAAAAAGTCACCTAGAAACATGTAAAAGCATGACGTGGTGAAACGCTGCCTTCCCTTATATAAGTGTCACGGGTTATTAAGTCCAAACAGAGGAAGCAGTGCATGAAATAATGACTTGGCAGGAGCTCCGTGCACACTGCTCACCCCTTCAACTCTCTGGAATTGGAAGAGGGACATAGCGAAAGCAGAGAGAGAGAGGGAGTGTGTGTGTGTGTGTGTGTGTGTGTGTGTGTGTGTGTGTGTGTGTGTGTGTGTGTGTGTGTGTGTGTGTGTGTGTGTGTAGTGCATTTCAAAAGCCCACCAGTGTGTCACATATCTAAATCTGATTGCATTTAGTCCTTAAAGTGCACTGATGAATCACAGCACGGGAAAGGATCTACAGGTACGTGCACACCTCCAGGTGACGTTATGTGTGTAAAGGGGCCATAACGCTGACATGCTCTCATACTGCACGAACATCAGTCACCGTAAAGGCTGCTGAGCATCCAACACCGCACGGATCATTCATCAGGGCCAAAAGCGCGGAAATCACTGTAAAACTGATCCGACCAAGTTTTCCGACTCGACGTGAGTTGGGATCAGACGCTCACCTGGATGGTCTGGCTCGGGTCCCCGGACACCGGGCCTCCCACCAGCTTGCAGTACAGGTCCTGCAGGGCTCTGCCGCCGTCGTCCTCTCCACAGGTCGCCGACGCGGTGATCTTGGTGCCCTCGGCCAGGTTGAAGTAAGGCGGGTGCAGGCTGTAGCCGTTCACCCCGTTGGTCGCCAGCTCCTGCGCCGAAGCAAAGCGGCAGCAGGTCGCCACGAGCGGCCACAGCAGCAGCGCGACCCGCCGGAGGGCGCGCGGAGCCGCGGGGCGCGCGGAGCCGAGCGCCGTCATCTCCACCTGTTCGCTCGGTCCGGGTCCGAAGAGGGAGGAGGGAGTGAATGAACTTAGAGTTTTAAAAAGGAAAAGGAAAAGTAAGCCGTTAACGCGGGTTTGGAGAGAGGGAGGGAGGGAGAGAGAGAGAGAGAGAGAGAGAGGGAGAGAGAGAGAGGGGGGGACGGGAGTTGGTGTTGTAGTCCCGCGGAGCGGTGTGTTGAGGTTTCTGTCGCTCTACCAGGCACCTATTCTCTCTCTCTCTCTCTCTCTCTCTCTCTCTCTCTCTCTCTCTCTCTCTCTCTCTCTCTCTCTCTCTGCACCCTCCCCCCTCCCCGTTTCTCTGGCTCGGTCCGTCCCCGGCGGCTGGTTGGAGCACCAATGCTTTGTGTTGGATGCACTTTCTTTCTTTATTGATTAAAATAAAGCCATCTCACGAGGATGCCCACTTCTGATATATTTCTGTGTTTTCTCTCCTTCATTTTTTTAATTCCCCTCCAGATTACTTCCGTCTCTAGTCATCTTTTTTTTGAGTTATTCATTCCCCCTTTTCATACCAACCCCTTCTCATCAGTTCAAAATGAGTAAATGTGTTTGCTCTCCTGCATCATTACACTAAAATGGGGAAACAACAACCACTCAGACAGAAATGGCATCCGGCTTAACCATCAAACACACAAGGAAATACACAGAGACAGACAGGTGTGTCTCAACAAACATGCAAACCCCACACGTGGATCCGGTCAGCACAAAGAAAGACGAATCCCACTGGGGCTTGATTTGGGAATAGGTGGTGATTTGTGGTATTGATTCATGATATTTGGTTGCGTAACGTTTTTTACTTGTTCGTGTTTGAACACATTTCACAGCATTTAAGCATCTGAAACAAAAATAATGTGTACAGGTGTCTTTGATATGTGAAATTTGAACATCTTTTTCTGTTCCCGTGTAATAAACCTTGTATTGACATGCGAATTCAGACACAGATCATTTGCTGTGACATCGAAATCAATAACAGTTGAGCGCAACAATCGTTGACCTGACAAGATAATAGTAGAAACTTCTCAAACCTCAAAGTTTGACTCTTGACTTATTCCAGAGCTTCCAACCACATTTCACAGTCGTTTTCAGAAAATCGAGTGAACAAAATTGTTACATGACCAAATCATTCAACCTTGTCAAGATCATAATGCTGTTGGTTTATAGGTTTTAACATTTACAGAATCTGCTTAGTCATAATGCTGCATAACCATAAGCAGAATAGGAGAGCGATCACAAGGGAGACACAGGAAACTTATCTTTTCCTCAATTGTGCATGTCGTTTTAGATAAGATGAGGTTAATGTAACAGATGTGTGCGGTCCACATCCCATGTGTCACGGTTTGGGTTTATTTCCTGTTTTATTTTGTAGTTTCGTGCCTCCTGTGTCCCTGGGTTAGCTTCACTTCCTGCCTTGACCTGTCACCCCCCTGTGATTGTCTGCCTCGTCCCTGATTGTTTCCACCTGTGTCCAATTACCTGCACCTTCCCAGTGTACTTAAGCAATGTGTGTCTCATGCTGTCATTGAATGCCATTCATGAATGTCCTCCCATGTGTGTTGCATGTGGTTCCCGGCCGCGGCTGTGTTTTCTCCCCTCAGGATTTTAGATTTTTGATGAACAAAGTAGTTTTTGTGCTGTTTTGTTTGAATTTCATAGTCATTTTGAGCCCAACCAAAAGGCTTTGTAAATAACTAAGACGTTTTGTTTGTTTTGTTGCAGCTTGAAATGTTAACCACACTGCGACCGCAATCGGGAGGAAATAAGTTTCACTCAAAACTTAATTGAGACGGCCTTTAGGCTGTAAATGAATGGAATGTTGTGAGAGACAGAACCCCCCCCCATAATGTATACAATCACCTGTTACCGTGTTACTCTAGTTGAATAGTTAGCAGGTCACATGATGACAACTGGGCAGACTCCATGGCAACCGTGCAAAATCCATTTGCTAATCAAGATTGTGAAATATGGTTGAAAGCATTTCAAAAGCTAAAAAATACTATATTTTGTCATGGACACATACAGTTGTCAAAAGCGATGTTGCCGCTGTTAGGGGGGAAAGCCTCATGTAGCATCACACTTAGATTATCTTGCTCAGGTTGTTGCTGATTGCTGGAATTTGTTAGCACCAGAGCTACACGGTAAATGCTTGTTTGGGAGATTGTGTTCACAAATGTTCGTCTATCTGCTTAAACTCCGGGACACAGTACAGGCGGCCTGTCAATCCTCTCCTATCATCCTTCCTCTTCTCTGTCTTTCTCTTTCTCTGTAATCTCGTCATTCTGCCACCGAGCTGTCAGACCAATCGCATACAGACTGTGGTCTTGTTGTCGGTTGGTGTGTGCGAAAGCGAGTGTGTGTCCACTTAGTATTCCATCTCAGCTCGCACACTTTCTTTCTGTCTATTACAAAATGATCTCCTCATCACACAGCTAACATTATAAATGAGTCCCTGCAGACTTTGGTTTCACACAGACCACAAGCAGTGGTCCCCTGAGTGAGTGTCCTGTGTTTGTTTGAGCCATTCATCCTACCCAAACTGACCATGAGTAGAAACATTAGCGAGGATGCGTCAACAATAATCTGCGAGATGATAAAGTTCCCTAAAAACATGATTGTCTCTGCCACACAGAAGAACATCCCTTTATAATAGACTGAAACTCACAGAAGAAGGTTTTTACACTGATTCAAGGGGTGAATGAAAATGTACGTGACTTATTTTGGTGTACAATTACATGTATAATTTCAACAAGTCAAAGGAGAAATAGTACATTGTTCATTTTTGGAAAAGGGTCAGGGTTAAAATCCCCTATTAACCTCTCACTGCACACACAGACTCTCCTGTGCTGCAGCTTATACATCTCTTGAATAACACCTGAGCAGCTGTGTGTGTGTGTGTGTGTGTGTGTGTGTGTGTTTTCCCATGCACTCTGGACTGCCACCATCTAATCAAGGTGCAAGAACCACTTTAGAAGATGAAAGGGTTTCTCTTCCACACACACACAAATGCAAAGATAACAGATGCCAACGTGAGTCAAGTAGTATTTACAGGCCTCTTGGTCTGAAAGGATGTTTATTAAAAGAAATCCTATACCGGTGAACCTGCGGGGAAAAAAAGGAAAGAAAACCAGTTAAGATAAGTAAGGCAGGTGAAATTACTGCCACGTCTTCTCAGGCCAAAGTCCAGAAACCTCACACATCTATTTCCTCCATCGTCTGTCAAACACATGCTGAACTCTGACCTGTGGACTGCTGTCTGCCTCTTACACACACACACACACACACACACACACACACACACACACACACACAGAGGCTGGGGTCAGTGACCTCCTGTAGTTTAAAGGACTCTAGAGTCACTGTGTTAATGCAGCAGAGCTTCATTCACTGACACACTAGAACATTCCTCAGGCTGTCTGGAGGCTCACTGGTTGTGTGTTGCAGTTTTCATCTTAAACTTGCACAAATCTTCATCATCAATGAACACGAGGAATATGTCATATATTTAAAAATAGGCCGACGTCGTGTTCGCGCGGTAAAGTCACCCCCAGCGGCTGTTGGTCCATCACAGTGAGCAGGTGGAGCTACTCGTATTATTATAGCCCTTCAAATCATGAACAGCCTCCTCCTGTTCTGACAACTGATTGAAATGAAACACTGTTTGGATCTCTGTTAAATGTCATCCAAATGTACCATTAAATGCCAAAGAAGCCAGGATATCTGCTTCTCCCTGTTTCCAGGCTTAAGGCTACAGAAAGTAAATAAACATATCACAATGTTGAAGCGTTGCTTTTACTGCAAACAAAGATTAATGGAGCTCTTTAGGACGAGAGAGTAACAACAAAAGAGAAAAAAACATGAAAAGACAGAGACAAATGGAGGAAAAGAGAGGACGTGTCACCTTCACCTCACTAATCCACTCATTCTCTCGATCTTTCTTCCTGAACTCTACAACTAATCTACTTCCTGGTTACCAAGGAAACCGAATGAGACATGAGGGATAGGCCACTTGTTGTTGCTAACTGCTAACTGCTCCATCAATTGAACCACTTACCCCCTGCTGGTACCTACACACACAAACACACACACATACACAGACACACACACACTCACATTCATAAAAACACAAATGAAGAGGCTGGAATTTAATTGAAAGACTGGCAGGGAGGAAGGAACTGTCAGAGGAAGTAAGAAAGTAAATTCAAGTAAATGTGGCTGAGCGATGCAGCAGCAAGGACACAATCAGTGTTTCCTTTGAAGGCGTAAGTATCACTATCTTACTTCTGCATCTTTTTTATCCTTTTTATAACTTACACCCTGAAATACAATACAAAATGGCAAAGGATTGAGATTACAATAAAAACCATCGGACAATATTTTTTCCACAAATTTGGGTAGCAACTTGTTGGTTTTGCGTGAATATATTCCAATCCGACGGGTAAACAAATTGGTCAACATTAGTGTCGGTTAAATTGTGGAAGCAGCTCTGTAGCTGTGAGCCTGAAAACTAGATGATTTTATCATGACTTTGTTCTTCTCCTTTGCAGCCATAACTTGAGTATATGATGGTATGGTAGATGGTAACAGCATTGAGTAAATAGTGTGCCTGCATTTCCAGCATTTCTTGAGTTTGCCGCCTTCCGCCATTCTGGAGGTAGGACACACACACACACACATAAATGTTCAGCACAGTGCTGAGGGCGGATATGTTTGATGTGCTGTGGGCCGGGGAGGGGATGTTTTGGGTTGACAGCAGACTAAAATGTCTGTCTATGAGGCAGGTACTGACATGCCTTCTCTTTGTCTCACACACTCCTGGTGGGCCCCCCCTCTCTCTCTCTGTCTCTGTCTCTCTCTTTCTCTGTTCTGCTTTTACTGCCAAGAAGAAAGGATCAGAGCTTTATGTTATTGATGCATATGGTCCCTTATACAAAAAAGTATCATGGTGAGATTGCATTGCAATGTGGTTTAAAAGCTTAGGGCTCTGGGCTCTTTTCATTAGAGCTGGGTGCTCAGCAAACATCTCAAGGTGATTTGTTTTGTTTGGTTGAGCAGCATTTATAGGCTGTAATGTTTCAGTTCAATGTGATTTTTTTCTAATAAT